CATTATTTACATGAAATATCACATTTTTAAAACTGATTACTCAAAATAGAAATGTTGTAACAGACAGTCTTTTCCAAAAGCCTCCTCGGGTTTTCATGCTTGTTCTTTCAACTGTGCCTGAGTAACTGTGCTGTAGTACAACGCTCGGTCCAGCTGGTGGCGCTAATACTAACTTCAGTGACTCCCGCATTGTGCGAGCTTCCTGTTTACATTCTGATGCTGTAGCTAGCAGCTACTGTAGCAGCTACTGTAGCTAACAGCTACTGTAGCAGCTACTGTAGCTAACAGCTACTGTAGCTAACAGCTACTGTAGCAGCTACTGTAGCTAACAGCTACTGTAGCAGCTACTGTAGCAGCTACTGTAGCTAACAGCTACTGTAGCTAGCTGCTACAGTAGCTAACAGCTACTGTAGCAGCTACTGTAGCAGCTACTGTAGCTAACAGCTACTGTAGCTAGCTGCTACAGTAGCTAACAGCTACTGTAGCAGCTACTGTAGCTAACAGCTACTGTAACAGCTACTGTAGCTAACAGCTACTGTAGCAGCTACTGTAGCTAACAGCTACTGTAGCAGCTACTGTAGCTAACAGCTACTGTAGCTAGCTGCTACAGTAGCTAACAGCTACTGTAACAGCTACTGTAGCTAACAGCTACTGTAGCTAGCTGCTACAGTAGCTAACAGCTACTGTAGCAGCTACTGTAGCTAACAGCTACTGTAGCAGCTACTGTAGCTAACAGACAGCGGGGAACACGTTGTTTGTATCAGAGCAATAAGAGCAATGTGTGAGACGTGTCTTTCCCCAAAGTGCAGCGGCTCAGTGGGACACGAGTGTGTGCGCGCCACGGACACGGGAGCGCGCTTTGGAATAACGAGCGTGAGAGAGCGTGAAAGATGTGGCGTACGAACATAGCGACCGGAGCCTGCGTGCGTGTGTGTGTGTTTTGGCGATTAAATAAAGTCTGATTCTTGAACGTTTGAAGTGTTATTGCAACAGCACCAACTGTGAGAGCGAGCATCAGGCCAGAGGGAGACTGTTAGCATTAGGTTAGCTTCAAAATGACTGCTCAACACCATAGACCCGCGGTTAGCGCGTTAGCGCTGTAGTTCTGCGCTGGAGAAAATAAAAATCGAATTTTTAAAAAAAGAAATCGCCCTAAACGTAAAACTCGAATTAATGATTAAAATCGATTAATCGCCCAGCCCTACTAGATGGATGACATTCATCAACATGTATGACATTTATCAACATGTGTGACATTTATCAACATGAATAAACATTTATCAACATATATGACATTTATCAACATATATGACATTTATCAACATATATGACATTTATCAACATATATGACATTTATCAACATATATGACATTTATCAACATATATGACATTTATCAACATGAATAAACATTTATCAACATGAATAAACATTTATCAACATATATGACATTTATCAACATGTGTGACATTTATCTACATATGTGACATTTATCAACATGTATGACATTTATCAACATGTATGACATTTATCAACATGTATGACATTTATCAACATGTATGACATTTATCAACATGTATGACATTTATCAACATGTATGACATTTATCAACATGTATGACATTTATCAACATGTATGACATTTATCAACATGTATGACATTTATCAACATATGTGACATTTATCAACATGTGTGACATTTATCAACATGTGTGACATTTATCTACATATGTGACATTTATCAACATGTATGACATTTATCAACATGTGTGACCTTTATCAACATGTATGACATTTATCAACATGTATGACATTTATCAACATGTATGACATTTATCAACATGTATGACATTTATCAACATGTATGACATTTATCAACATGTATGACATTTATCAACATGTGTGACATTTATCAACATGAATAAACATTTATCAACATATATGACATTTATCAACATGAATAAACATTTATCAACATGTATGACATTTATCAACATGAATAAACATTTATCAACATATATGACATTTATCAACATGTGTGACATTTATCAACATGTATGACATTTATCAACATGTATGACATTTATCAACATATATGACATTTATCAACATGAATAAACATTTATCAACATGTATGACATTTATCAACATGAATAAACATTTATCAACATATATGGCATTTATCAACATGTGTGACATTTATCAACATGTATGACATTTATCAACATGTATGACATTTATCAACATGTATGACATTTATCAACATATATGACATTTATCAACATGAATAAACATTTATCAACATGAATAAACATTTATCAACATATATGACATTTATCAACATGTGTGACATTTATCTACATATGTGACATTTATCAACATGTATGACATTTATCAACATGTATGACATTTATCAACATGTATGACATTTATCAACATGTATGACATTTATCAACATGTATGACATTTATCAACATGTATGACATTTATCAACATGTATGACATTTATCAACATGTATGACATTTATCAACATGTATGACATTTATCAACATGTATGACATTTATCAACATGTATGACATTTATCAACATGTATGACATTTATCAACATGTATGACATTTATCAACATGTATGACATTTATCAACATGTATGACATTTATCAACATGTGTGACCTTTATCAACATGTATGACATTTATCAACATGTATGACATTTATCAACATGTATGACATTTATCAACATGTATGACATTTATCAACATGTATGACATTTATCAACATGTATGACATTTATCAACATGTGTGACATTTATCAACATGAATAAACATTTATCAACATATATGACATTTATCAACATGAATAAACATTTATCAACATGTATGACATTTATCAACATGTGTGACATTTATCAACATGAATAAACATTTATCAACATATATGACATTTATCAACATGAATAAACATTTATCAACATGTATGACATTTATCAACATGAATAAACATTTATCAACATATATGACATTTATCAACATGTGTGACATTTATCAACATGTATGACATTTATCAACATGTATGACATTTATCAACATATATGACATTTATCAACATGAATAAACATTTATCAACATGTATGACATTTATCAACATGAATAAACATTTATCAACATATATGGCATTTATCAACATGTGTGACATTTATCAACATGTATGACATTTATCAACATGTATGACATTTATCAACATGTATGACATTTATCAACATATATGACATTTATCAACATGAATAAACATTTATCAACATGAATAAACATTTATCAACATATATGACATTTATCTACATATGTGACATTTATCAACATGTATGACATTTATCAACATGTATGACATTTATCAACATGTATGACATTTATCAACATGTATGACATTTATCAACATGTATGACATTTATCAACATGTATGACATTTATCAACATATATGACATTTATCAACATGTGTGACATTTATCTACATATGTAACATTTATCAACATGTATGACATTTATCAACATGTGTGACCTTTATCAACATGTATGACATTTATCAACATGTATGACATTTATCAACATGTATGACATTTATCAACATGTATGACATTTATCAACATGAATAAACATTTATCAACATGTATGACATTTATCAACATGAATAAACATTTATCAACATATATGACATTTATCAACATGTGTGACATTTATCAACATGTATGACATTTATCAACATGTATGACATTTATCAACATGTGTGACATTTATCAACATGTGTGACATTTATCAACATGTATGACATTTATCAACATGTATGACATTTATCAACATGTGTGACATTTATCAACATGAATAAACATTTATCAACATATATGACATTTATCAACATGAATAAACATTTATCAACATATATGACATTTATCAACATGTGTGACATTTATCAACATGAATAAACATTTATCAACATGTATGACATTTATCAACATGTATGACATTTATCAACATGTGTGACATTTATCAACATATATGACATTTATCAACATGTATGACATTTATCAACATGAATAAACATTTATCAACATATATGACATTTATCAACATGTGTGACATTTATCAACATGTATGACATTTATCAACATGTATGACATTTATCAACATGTGTGACATTTATCAACATGTGTGACATGTATCAACATGTATGACATTTATCAACATGTATGACATTTATCAACATGAATAAACATTTATCAACATATATGACAGTTAACAACATGTATGACATTTATCAACATGTGTGACATTTATCAACATGTATGACATTTATTAACATGTGTGACATTTATCAACATGAATAAACATTTATCAACATATATGACATTTATCAACATGAATAAACATTTATCAACATATATGACATTTATCAACATGTATGACATTTATCAACATGAATAAACATTTATCAACATACATGACATTTATCAACATGTGTGACATTTATCAACATGTGTGACATTTATCAACACGTGTGACATTTATCTACATATGTGACATTTATCAACATGTATAAACATGTATCTACATGTATGACATTTATCAACATGTGTGACATTCTACAACATGTATGACGGAGGAGTTATAGCCAATTCTGCTAACATGCTAGCAGCGCTAAACACAGCGGCCCGCTAAAAGTAATCTCAGCACTTTGAATGGCCTAAACTAAAAAAATATATATATAAATCGGATATAGCTTCTTTAAGTCTTCTGAGATGATGCTGTTGTGATTTAGGGAAATACAAGAATAAATTGTATTGAATTGTACTGAGCTCACACATTTCAGGCTTCTCTTCTTCTACAATCTTTGAGCAACCCTCTTAATACAGTTCAAATCTGTTAAAACTGAAACTACAGAAGTCGTCCTCTCTGAGATCCTTGTTAAGGTGTGGGTGCTTGTTTCCCCTGCAGCAGCTCTGACTCGTGCATGGCTCTGTGTGGAGCGATGGCGGCGTACAGCGGAGGATCGTCAGCTGTGGCCCATCATCACCACCAGCTGCAGCACCTGCCGGCACCTCACCTGCAGCACCACCACGCTCCACAGCACCCCCTGCAGGTACGCACAGGCACTACACAGACAGCTCCCCCTGCAGGTACACACAGGCACTACACTACACACAGCAAGTTTATTTGTATAGCACAGTTCCTACAGAAGGTAACCACCCTTAGCTTTTTGAACAAAACTCTCGGCTCTTATTGGACGAGCACGTATCACCAGAATGATTGACAATTGGGAGGACCAATAGTCTTGATGATCCACCCGGAAATAGAAAATCCTCTTATATACTTTTAAGAAAACAAGATAGACACAGTCAGACAAGGCATTAAAGGCTTGAAACAGGGGCGTCAAACTTATTTTGGTTGAGGGCCGAATAAAAAATGAAAGGGCTGGTCAGGGGCCGAAAGAAGTGGGTTTTGTTTATAAAAAAAATTTGGAATATGAAGGTATCTAAATAAATGACTTGTTTCACATTAGTTAGATTGGATATTCTTTTCTGATTAGAATTAGTTCAGTTACTTTGGACTGAACCAAAACTGGACCAAATACTGAAGTATATTGGAAGATTGTCTACTTCCGGGTGGATCATCAAAACTCTTGGTTCTCCCACTTGTCAATCATTCTGATGATTCGTGCTCGTGAAATAATACCAGAGAGTTTTGTTCAAAAAGTGGAGAGGAAGGTTCTTTCCTAAGAAAGTTGGGAAACCTCTTTCATATCTTTAAGAAGAAATGCAATTGAAGACTCGTAAAAAATATACTAAAAAAATATACGTAAAAACATAATACTATCTTCTAATTACATGTTGGCTTAACATTTCTTATGGAATTACATTTTATGGTTGTTTTCTCAGTAATGGATAACATTGTCGCCTATGACCATTAATGCTGCTATTTAATATAATAATTTAAAATCATCTCAAGGGCCACTGGAAATGGTCTCGCTGGAAAATAAAATAATTGCTCATTTACAGCTTTTTATTCTGTCCCTGTGAGTGATTCTTCCACTGTGTCCAGGCCCCGGTGTCCGCTGCAGCCGTCCACTCGCTGCAGCAGCATGCGTCCACAGGGGGCGCTGCCATCATGCTGAACCCTGGACAGCAGCAGTCGTACTTCCCCTCTCCTGCCCCGGGGCAGGCTCCGGGCCCCGCGGCCGCAGCTGCCCCAGCGCAGGTGCAGGCAGCTGCGGTCAAAGCTCATCATCATCATCATCATCATCATCACCAGCACCTGCAGCCACAGCTGGACATCGAGCCCGACCGCCCCATCGGCTACGGGGCCTTTGGGGTCGTCTGGTGAGTTTCTCTAAATGTTAGAAAGGCACATGTTAGAGGTTTAGGGCGACAGTGGCTCAGTTGGTAGAGTATTGTCCTTTGAGCCTGAAGGTTGTGGGTTCGAGTCCACCACAAGACATTCTCCACCGACTCCCACTGATGTCTGCTGTGGTTGTGTCCTTGGGCAAGACACTTCACCTCTGGAAGCAGCAGGTGCCACAGTGGGGCGGCCGTGGCTGTAAAGAGCCATTGTGTCCTTAGGCAAGACACTTCACCCACATTTTCTAGAATGAGTCTGGTGTGTGTGTGAATGGTTGGTGGTGGTGGGAGAGGCCTTTGTGGAAAGATTGTATTTCCTACTTTGTTTTTCCTACTATTTCCTGTATTTTCTACTATTCTCTCTCTGGTCTCTCTCGGGTCTCTCTCTGGTCCTTCTCTTGTTTCTGGTCTCTCTTGGGTCTCTCTCTCTCTTGTCTCTCTTGGGTCTTTCTCTGGTCTCTCTCTCTCTCTCTGGTCTCTCTCTGGTCTCTCGGGTCTCTCTCTCTCTCTCTCTCTCTCTCTCTCTCTCTCTCATTCATATATATATTTCAAAAGATAGATTTGAGATCCTGGTCCATCCTGGTCATCTCTTCCATATAACATCCTTACATATTTCCCACATATACAGTGCCTTGCGAAAGTATTCGGCCACCTTGAACCTTCCACCTTCATGAATCAACAACAAGTGGGACACAATCGTGAAGTGGAACGAAATTTATTGGATAATTTAAACAAATAAAACAAATAAAAAACTGAAAAGTGGGGCGTGCAATATTATTCGGCCCCTTTACTTTCAGTGCAGCAAACTCAGTCCAGAAGTTCAGTGAGGATCTTTGAATGATCCAATGTTGTCCTAAATGACTGATGATGATAAATAGAATGCACCTGTGTGTAATCAAGTCTCCGTATAAATGCACCTGCTCTTTGATAGTCTCAGGGTTCTGTTTAAAGCGCAGAGAGAACCATGAAGACAAAGGAACACACCAGGCAGGTCCGAGATACTGTTGTGGAGAAGTTTAAAGCCGGATTTGGATACAAAAGATTTCCCAAGCTTTAAACATCTCAAGGAGCACTGTGCAAGCAATTATATTGAAATGGAAGGAGTATCAGACCACTGCAAATCTACCAAGACCCGGCCGTCCCTCCAAACTTTCATCTTTAACAAGGAGAAGACTGATCAGAGATGCAGCCAAGAGGCCCATGATCACTCTGGATGAACTGCAGATAACTACAGCTGAGGTGGGAGAGTCTGTCCATAGGACAACAATCAGTCGTGCACTGCACAAATCTGGCCTTTATGGAAGAGTGGCAAGAAGAAAGCCATTTCTCAAAGATATCCATAAAAAGTCTCGTTTAAAGTTTGCCACAAGCCACCTGGGAGACACACCAAACATGTGGAAGAAGGTGCTCTGGTCAGATGAAACCAAAATCAAACTTTTTGGCCATAATGCAAAACGATATGTTTGGCGTAAAAGCAACACAGCTCATCACCCTCACACCATCCCCACTGTCAAACATGGTGGTGGCAGCATCATGGTTTGGGCCTGCTTTTCTTCAGCAGGGACAGGGAAGATGGCTAAAATTGATGGGAAGATGGATGGAGCCAAATACAGGACCATTCTGGAAGAAAACCTGTTGGAGTCTGCAAAAGACCTGAGACTGGGACAGAGATTTATCTTCCAACAGGACAATGATCCAAAACATAAAGCCAAATCTACAATGGAATGGTTCACAAATTGACTTGGCCATTCTAACACTTGGATACGTCTAAGTCCAGACCTGAATCCAATCGAGAATCTGTGGAAAGAGCTGAAGACTGCTGTTCACAAACGCTCTCCATCCAACCTCACTGAGCTCCAGCTGTTTTGCAAGGAAGAGTGGGCAAGAATTCCAGTCTCTCAATGTGCAAAACTGATAGAGACATACCCCAAGCGACTTGCAGCTGTAATTGCAGCAAAAGGTGGCGCCACAAAGTATTAACGCAAGGGGGCCGAATAATATTGCACGCCCCACTTTTCAGCTTTTTATTTGTTAAAAAAATTTAAATTATCCAATAAATTTTGTTCCACTTCACGATTGTGTCCCACGTGTTGTTGATTCTTGACAAAAAATGTAATTTTTATATCTTTGTTTGAAGCCTGAAATGTGGCAAAATGTTGAAAGGTTCAAGGGGGCCTAATACTGTATCACCTTCTAAAATCTTCTGTTTAAAGCCAAAATAAAAATAGACATTGACTAATCATTCTACTCATACACAGCATTTTGCCTCAAATGAAAGACCCATATTTCCATAAGTGTGTGTCGTCGTGCGTCTGGAAGTCTCCGTCTCGCCTCTCGTCTGCCGGATCCATTGTGGCTGTTGTATTATCATTTGTGGTCTGAAAGAGCGGTGGGAGTCTGGGTGTAATGCTTCCTGTCGCGCTCTTGTTCAGATAAACGCGAGACAAATGCTCACGTTTGGAGCCTCGCGGGGGGGGCGGGGCGACGGCGGGGCGAGAGGCAACACAAACACGGCTATTTTTAGGAATCAAAGTCTGGTGCTAAAGAAGCTAAACTCCACCGACAGCGACAAAGACACACATCAGCCAAAACATTACGGACACTGGCTGCACAGGGCCGCTCCCACATGGACTGTATACAGATGGACAATGCTAACACGCTAGCTTGAAGCCCAATAGGAAAGGGCTCACTCTGGCGCCTATGGACTTACATTGAGAAGACGTCCAGACTGTCAGACTGTACAACGAACAATGAGGATTAACAAACATGCCTTGTTTGAGCAATAACTTTTATTTTTTTTACTTTTTTATTTAATTATTCAGCCATGACATTATTAAAATCACAATGAAAATAATAAGAACACAAGTAATTCAATTCAATTACATGTCGCTAAATAGGAGTATGTTGAAGACAAGATCTTATGTTTCATGCCCCTTAACACATATTTGGTTAACAGAGATTAGAAATAAGATGGCTCGCCTTTATGTGTTTTTTATTATTATTTTTATTTATTTATTTCCTTTATAGCAATCTTTCACTTTTCTGTAGTTATTGTGGATTTACTTGTATTTTCCTCTATTTTAGTAGGATTTTGAACAACCAATCATTTACCATAATTTGCAAGTACTTTTTCCTTATACATTTTCTTTGTGACAGGATTTTTTCACAGGGATCCAGAGAGTTCCAAAGCTTAATTCCTGTTACAAGGAAACCTTTCTTATTTTAAAGTGGTGCTTAAAAAAGGCACACAAAAATGTCCTTTCCTCCTGTTACTCCTGTCTGCGATTAAAAAGAATTTATTATGGATGTACAACTTGTTCTTCACCCTCCACATTGTTTGAATAATTTTGAAGGAACAAGATCTTTGAATTTCAGGAGTTGTAATTGTGTGAAGAGATTATTTGTGTGGTCTCTAGGGCCTTTGTGGCAGATGATTCTTACTGTGACCATATTACTAGCATTTCCCCAAACCTCGATACAATAGGTAAAATAAGGAACAATTAGAGTTGTATATAACAACTTCAATGAAGTCTTGTCTAGAGTATGTTTGACCTTATACAATACGCCAATACTTTTACTTACCTTTTTCCTGATGTAATCAACATGTGACTTCCAACAGAGTTTGTTATCAAGGATTACCCCCAAATATTTGACTTCTGAAACACACTCAATACATTATCAATAATTAATTGGACTGATAATAGGGGTTTCTTGAAGAGAACCACGTGTCCACTGTCCCGTTGTACAGATGTAAACAAACAAATATATATTTCTTCCGCTAGAATATACAAGATTTTAAACTTGTAAAAGTTGGAGATTTGCTTGATTTTATGCTAAAGAAAGGGTTTATTTTATTCTATTTTTGCATAGAGTTATTGTGCATTTATCTTGTGTTGTGTAAACTTTGAGTCCTATTGTGGAGAATAAGACTCATACAAAAAAGGGATCTTGTGCATCATGGCGTGGTTGTTTATTCACAAAAAGGGCAGTTGGTTCAGTTCTTTCAATTCAGTTGGTTCAGGTTTTTCAGTTGGTTTTTTCAGACAGAACATATTTAGGATATGGTTTATATAGTCAACGTTTACATCACACATGCGTCATACATGGATAAGCATTCGCGTCATATCAAGAGAACAATTGGAACATAACAAGACATCGAAAGAACAGAACACGGACACACAATCATAGCAGATACACAAGGCCAGATCACTTTATAGCTATCTAATCCTCACACTATGTCTCCTTTAATATTGAGGCACTAAACCAATAGAATAAAGGACTATAAATAGATTATAAATACATTTTTAATCTGCCAATTAAAGATATCTAGGGGGATTTAGCTGGAAGTCCCACGTCTGGTTTTCCTCCGGGTCATTCCCGTTTTCATTCCGGTCCTCTGTTGTCTTTCACATCTTCTCAGTGACTCACACAATTTTATTTTTCCCCCCAAAGAACCAACATTAGCTGCTAAACCAGCTACGTACAGACTCGGGAATCCACTGAGCATGTGCGAGGGAATAATAGTGAACGGACTGAAGATTTACAGTGAAATAGTAAAGATATTATAAAACTAAATATCTTTTAGTGCAAAATAGAACAGAAGTGATAATGTTCATGTTTGTACGACGCAAAATGGCTGTGGCTGATTCTTTATTTCCAAGTCTCTCTCTGGTCTCTCTCTCTGCTCTTTCTATATCTCTGTCTCTCTCTCTGGTCTCTCTCTGGTCTATCTCTCTTTCTGGTCTCTCTCTCTCTGGTCCTTTTTTGTGCAATGTCTTGTCCAACTTGTTGCGTGCAATTTAAAACCCAACGTTGTATTTTTAGTCCCTCTGCGCCCACAGCACCAGCACAGGTGAAACACAGATGACACAGCTGTATATGAGTCACTGTGTCTGTGTGTGTGTCTGTGTGTGTCTCTTTTTGCGTTTGTGTGTGTGTGTGTGTGGTTGTGTGTGTGTGTTTCTCTGTGTGTGTGTGTTTGCGTCTGTGTGTGTGGGTGTGTGTGTGGTTGTGTGTGTGTAAACTGGAGGTGTGTGTATCTGAGACTTCTTCTTAAGCACCATCTGTTCAGGCCTTGATCCTATTTACGTCAAGTTCATTTGACCCAGAGCTGCTCCTGACCGGGCTCACGAGGCTCCACGGCTCCAAGACGACAAGCCTGGATTAGTGAGAGAGGAGAGGGGAGAAGAGAAGAGGGGAGGGGGAGAGGAGGAGAGGAGAGGGAAGGAGAGAAGAGGAAAAGACAGGAGAGGGGAGGGGAAGGGAGGAGAGGAGAGAGGAGGGTAGGGGAAGGGAGGAGAGAGGGGAGGGAAGGGTAGAGGAGAAGAGAGGGGAGGGGAGGAGGGGGGAGAGGAAAGGAGAGGGGATAGGAGAAGGTGGGGGGGAGAGAGGCGGAAGAGGGAAGGAGAGGGGAGGAGAGAGGAGGGGGGAGGAAGGAGAGGGAAGAACAGAAAGAAGAAGAAGGGAGTCATCTCCAAGCACTGACTTCTTCAGAGCAGTTTTGAGTTTAACACATGAGAATCCAGGAGATGAGAGGAGGTGGTGATGGGGAGGAGGAGGGTTGCAGCACGAGCCCAGTGCTGAATGCTGACGTTGTGCTCTTGGTCTGCTCTCAGGTCGGTGACGGATCCTCGAGACGGGAAAAGAGTGGCCCTCAAAAAGATGCCCAACGTCTTCCAAAACCTGGTGTCCTGTAAAAGAGTGTTCCGGGAGCTCAAGATGCTCTGCTTCTTCAAACACGAGAACGTACGATCAGATTTATTCATCTACACACACAAGCTATCTATCCATCTATTTCTCTATCTATCTATCTGTCAATCATCTATGGATCTATCTATGTATCTTTCTATCTATCTATCATCTATCTATCTACGTAAGATCCACTTTGTGCATCTCACACATTTACAAATCTGACAAAGTGGGATTTTCACTGTGGGAGGTAGGGATGTAAATCGGCGACCGGTTAACCGGTGGTTGACCGTCACAGCGTTAACCGGTCAAAGCTGTCGGTTAAAAAAGAGAAAAAGGGGAGAGGGGAGGTCTCTTAATAACGCTATTTTAAGCCCTATTTGCACGGTGTGACGAGCGGGTCTGTATCTAGCTGTGTGCGCCCATGTATTATAAACTCCGGGACGACTCTCACGCCGCACGAGCCACATATGCACACACGCACGCGTGCACACACACACACACTTTCCCCCTCTCCATACGTAACATCCACACGCATCATCTCTCCCCTCTGTTACCGTGAAAGTTGCACACTGGCGCGGGTCAGAACTACATTGGAGCTTACATTTACACACACACACATACACACATATACATACACACACACACACACACACACATACCGGTCTGTCGCGCTCCTCTGTGCGCGACAGACAAAGGATTCGCACAAATACGCGGCTCCAGTCAAACCACATGGAACATGTTTGTGTTTATGGTCCTCGGGATCAGCTCCACACACATCACTTGTATTTAAACTTTTGTGAAGACCTGTGAGACGCGGCTCGTCACTCGCTGCTCTGACCATGTGAACGAGCCGTCGTTTGCTGCTAGAAAGTTTTGGTATTAACCCGCAGCACAGCAGAATGGGAAGATTAAAAAAGCAGTTCTCTGTGCGCAAAGGTGCCGGAGCTGTTGCGGGTTTGGGCGCCGCTGTCTCAACTCTGATCCAGTAGAACGCAGAGCTGCACTTATGAAAAGTACGCGGCTCGAAATGGCTGTTATTTCAAAGAACGTGGACTATTTTAAACTACGCGGTTAACCGGTTTCAACCGGTTAATGAGGCTCGGTGGTCGGTCATGAAAATTCATAGTTTTTTACATCCCTAGTGGGAGGAAAATCAGGGGGAGGAGAGGAGAGGCAAGAAGGGGAGAGGAGGGGAGGAGAGAATAGTGAAGGAGAGGAGAAGCAAGAAGAGGAGAGGGGAGGAGAGGAAGAGACAGGAGGAGAGAGAGTGGAGGGAAGGAGAGGAAAGTAAGGGCGAGGAGGAGAGAGATATGATGGGGAGGAGAGGAAAGGAGAGGAGGAGAGGGGAGGAGAGAATAGTTATAATTATAATTATTATTATTTATTATATTCCTGTGTTTGAACTGTTTGATTCTCTGATCTGTTGTTTGCGAATCAACAGTTTTGTAAAGTCCTCTGAACGGCTGCGGTTGTGGTTTAGGGCTACACACAAACACACACACACACTGAGTTGTGTAGTTAAACAGGACAGGTGTGTAGATGGTGACTGTGTTTGTGCCGCAGGTTCTCTCGGCGCTGGACATTCTCCAACCTCCGCACATCGACTACTTTGAGGAGATGTATCCTTCTCTCACATCTGTGTTTCAGTATCATCACATTGACCCTAACCCTGACCCTAACCCTGACCCTAACCCTGACCCTAACCCTGACCCTAACCCATCAGGATCAGTTTGTGACAGGGACGTTAAAGACTAAAGCAGTAAAATGACACAACACTGTTTTACTTATTCCCTGATTTGAACAGAAGAAGATGGAGCCAATTTCTTACGGCGGTAGCTTAGTGCTGTGGGGGGCAAGACGGGGAGACAAGAGAGAGAGAGAGACCAGAGGGACCAGAGGGAGAGACCAGAGGGACCAGAGGGAGAGAACAGAGGGACCAGAGGGAGAGAACAGAGAGAGAGACCAGAGTGAGGGACCAGAGAGAGCAAGACCAGAAAGAGTGAGAACAGAGAGAGACCAGAGACAGATGGAGACCCAGAGAGTGACCACAGAAGGGGACCAGAGAGTGAGACCAGAGAGTGAGACCAGAGAGTGAGACCAGAGAGTGAGACCAGAGAGTGAGACCAGAGAGTGAGACCAGAGAGTGAGACCAGAGAGTGAGACCAGAGAGGGAGACCAGAGAGTGAGACCAGAGAGTGAGACCAGAGAGTGAGACCAGAGAGTGAGACCAGCGAGACAGACCATAGATTAAATGTGCTTTAGGTCAGTTTTAGTTTTTCTTGTGGGTTGTTTCAAGGACTACAGCGAAATTAGCTTCAAATTTCGCTGACCACAAACTAGTTCTGACTTTAGACGGTTACCATTGTTACCAAGTAAGATGTTTCCGCTGTGATGTCACATGAAAATGAAGATGGCGGCTGCGTCCTTGACTCTGATTGGTCAGATATGTGGTGACTGAACTGATGCAAAGCGACCTCCATAAAATCATCGTGTCTCCGCAGCCGCTGAGCTCGGACCACGCCAAAGTGTTCCTCTACCAGATCCTCCGAGGTCCGTCTCTCACTGGAAACAGAAGAGAAAACCGCAAAAGAAAAGTTAGATGATGTCGTTTTGTTTTTGAATTCCAGGTCTCAAATATCTCCATTCTGCTGGTATTCTACATCGAGACATCAAACCTGGCAACCTGCTTGTCAACAGCAACTGTGTCCTCAAGGTAACGTAATATTAGCGCTAGTGAAATGACATTCTTCACCATCTCCTGTGTATTATGATTTCATTTCTTGTGTTAGAACTGTTTGATTCTCTGATATGTTGTTGGCAAATCAGCATTTTTGTAAAGTCCTCTAAGACACACCTGAACTAGCCTGGTCGTACCACACCCTATTACAAATTTCATTTCATACTAAGGTCTGGATTTGCTCCATTGTGCTCCGTTAACAGGTGGGAGGGGTTAACTCCTTTTCCAGATTGAAACGATTGGATCTGAGTTTACTGTGATGTATGTAATGCGCCCGAGTGAGTTGTTAGCATTTAGCATTTAGCCTAGCTTTAGCCATATCCTTTGCCGCTAACGTAGCCAGTGGGGAGTAGCGCCACAATCTTCGCCAGAGATTACATTTGCTAAACATTCCTCTTGCTCCAGCTTCAATTTCTTGATAGAACCAGACCGTATTACTTTACTCTCGCATTCTTCGCCAAACTACAACCTGCCCGTTCGGCGCAAACTCTTCACATCACCCACAACTAACTACAACACCCGCCTCCCGCGCTCTCTGATTGGTCAGATGGAATTCAACCGATTGTAATCACAATCACAAGGACCAGACCCAGACGTTACATGCAGGAAATGATAATTGACCGGAGTTTACAGATGGATAAGGCCAGGCTACTGCTGATGTGATTCATATTCTACTCCCTCTGGTGGCAGCTGAGGGAGTTGCAGGCATTGCCATTTTTTTTACTTTTTCTCACCGTTTGTTTTCTACTGAAGTTATTAAAGGCGCTATACCCGTTTCTGCAAGGTTTGAATGTTTAGCACCGTCCCCCAACTCGCTCAATGGCTTCTCATTTCCCCTTCGCTCTCATAACACAGAGCCATCTAGCTCAATTTGCGATCTGACATGTATGCTAACATTAGCATTAGCACAACTTCTTGTAAGCTGTACAACAATCACTGATGAAATGGTACTAAAGCAACGCACTATATATTGGTAAAAGAATACCGCTAGTTTTGCATCCGAATGTGTTCATTAAAACGTTAGAATATATTTGAATATCTAATTATAATTTATTATACAGCTCCTCACAGCAGCAGTAGAACACTCCATTGACTTGAATGTAATTCTACCAATCATTTTTTCTTGATAACAGAACTCTCAAACCAATAATGACCGCTGCCCTTTGGCAACGCAATCTCTGTTTGTAATTCAGGTGTGTAAAATACTAACATTACTCCGCAAGTACAACAAGCCTTCAGTGTCACTACACTGTGCAGCTTATCTGCACACAGTTGCTCAATAAACAAATACATATCAATCAATCAACACCATTAAACGTTAATCGGAGAATACATTATACATTTACATCCTTAACACACATGCACGGACGTTTTCAGAATTTGTTGTTAACGTTTTCATGACAAAAATACTGTTGTAATATAAAGTGACCATTAACATGAAACGAACATTTTAGGACACTTTTGAAGAGGATCTGATTATGGATTTAGGTTCGGTATATAAATGGATAACTCACCACTGATGTTCAGAATTCTTTGTTCAGTTTTCATGTAGTTCCAGGGAGTTTTTGAACTAGCTAGCTTAGCTGTTACCTGCCTAGCACGTCCCGGTGAGACCTTTGGGAGCTAACTATTTTATTTGCAGTCATTAAATACATTTCGAATTAGAAGGGCTGTCTAATATTTGTTCGAATATATATTTATATATATATATATATATTTTTTTTTATTTTATTTTATTTTTTTTATTTATTTTAGAGTTATATTTGAATTTCGAAGCCGAAGCCCTAGTGTTTAGCAGCGTTGTAGAGGCTGGAGGACGCAGGCTCTTCGCTCCTCGTTCTGTGAGTGGAAGAGAATAACCGGCCCGCTAAGACTCTACTCAGCACTTTTCACTTCCTGTATTCATACAGATCTGAATCAATGACCTCAAGTTTTCAATTCAATTATCGTTTATGATACAACTTGTATGTAGTAATAAGCATTTTTATGTACTACTTAGATAAAAAATCGGGTATAGCTTCTTTAATTCATGTTCGAAACCATGAAATGATAATGTCGAAGATAAAGTCTAATATTTATCTGTATTTTGTTCTGCAGATCTGCGACTTTGGCCTGGCCCGCGTGGAGGAGACCGACGAGTCCCGGCACATGACCCAGGAGGTGGTCACGCAGTATTACCGCGCTCCGGAGATCCTGATGGGAAGTCGTCACTATGGCAACTCCATCGACATCTGGAGCGTGGGCTGCATCTTCGCCGAGCTGCTGGGACGGAGGATCCTCTTCCAGGCCCAGAGTCCGATCCAGCAGGTGAGGGGAGGGGGGTGGTGGGGGTGAGGGGGTGAGGGAGAAGTGAGAAGGGGACAGACATGGGACCCCTCATTGGTCGGCGAAAAACTTTGATATTGCTTTGATTAATGGAGCAGTATGTAAAAATGTGTCCAAAAGTGGTACTGCAGCCTCTCCCACTCTCCCTGACTCAGGTCGCCAGATATGCAAACGAATCCAGCTGGGACCATAAAAGCTGAATAGACAAGAGTTTTGTCAACAACAAATCTATAACCAACACCTTTTTCACAAAGATAGAAATCCTGGTTTTATTCCTTGTTTTGTTGTTAATGATTTGAGAATCATAACAAGACCTTTTTTAGTTCTGTACCACATGGTACTTTACCAGTGAGATTAGCTCCACGCGGTGAGTTCTGGCGCCCTGATTTAGGGGCAGTAAAATTGATTTTGAGATTTAAATCCCTGAACTACTTTTATCAGTTAAATAAAGATTCAAAAAGAGCATGTTTTGTTAAAGCCTTTTGACTTAGGGCCATTTAATGATGACTTGACATGAAAATCTTACATATTTGTGTGTGTTTCAGCTGGACCTGATCACAGACCTGCTGGGGACGCCCTCCCTGGAGGCCATGAGGACGTCCTGTGAAGGGGCCAGAGCACACATCCTCAGAGGACCTCACAAGCAGGTGAGAGAGAGACACCAGAGAGAGAGAAGAGAGAGACCAGAGAGAGACTTGAGAGAGACCAGAGATACATGACAGGCCAAAGTAGATGTTTTCACACTTATACCAATTAGGGCTGTCAAAATTATTGCGTTTACACACGTTAATTATAACATTTCATTAATTCCGTTTAAAAATTTACCGCATTTAACGCATGTCCGAATGACCCGCCCATGTATCCCATAATATCACTCAGAATGACCCATGTATCCCATATGTTCACTATGTTGTCATTTATCTTATGGCATCAATTTGCCGATAGTTAGAATTGCGATTAATTACGATTAATACATTTTTAAGCAGTAATTAACTCGTTGACAGCCCTAATACCAACACAACTAAAAAATATATATATATTTTTAAAAGCTCAAACGAGGATTGTCTAAACCACAGACTCAAACACAGCAGACGAACAACAGAAAGAAGGATTATGTTATAAATAGTTTTCGCAGTCACCTGTGCGGCCGTCACGTTTGATACTGACCTTGCATCTTAGTCCCGGTAACGCCGCAGTAATCTGGGCCAAATCCATCTGGGCCAAATCCTCCTGGACTCTGGACTTGAACCAGGAAGACTCTGAATTCTTAAATCACCGGTTTCTGCTTCATTGATTATACACATGGTTTGTCCCAATGGAAAATGGGAGAGACCAGAGAGAGACTAAGGAGAGAGAGACTAAGGAGAGAGAGACTAAGGAGAGAGAGACCAGAGAGAGAGACCAGAGAGAGTAGAGAGAGACCAGAGAGAGAGACTAGGGAGAGAGACCGGAGAGAGAGACCAGAGAGAGACTAAGGAGAGAGAGACTAGAGAGAGAGACCAGAGAGAGACTAAGGAGAGAGAGACCAGAGAGAGAGACTAAGGAGAGAGACCAGAGAGAGAGACTAGGGAGAGAGACAAGGGAGAGAGAGACCAGAGAGAGAGACCAGAGAGAGAGACTAGAGAGAGTAGAGAGAGACTAGAGAGAGTAGAGAGAGACCAGGGAGAGAGACCAGAGAGAGAGACTGAGGAGAGAGACTAAGGAGAGAGACCAGAGAGAGAGTCCAGAGAGAGAGACTAGGGAGAGAGACCGGAGAGAGAGACCTGAGAGAGAGACCAGAGAGAGAGACCAGAGAGAGAGACTAGAGAGAGACCAGAGAGAGAGACCAGGGAGAGAGACCGGAGAGAGAGACCTGAGAGAGAGACTAGAGAGAGAGACTCAGGAGAGAGACCAGAGAGAGACTAGAGAGGTACCAGAGAGAAAGACCAGAGAGAGAGACTACAGAGAGAGAGAGACTAAGGAGAGAGACCAGAGAGAGAGACCAGAGAGAGAGACTAGAGAGAGACCGGAGAGAGAGACCTGAGAGAGAGACCAGAGAGAGAGACCAGAGAGAGAGACTAGAGAGAGACCAGAGAGAGAGACCAGGGAGAGAGACCGGAGAGAGAGACCTGAGAGAGAGACTCAGGAGAGAGACCAGAGAGAGACTAGAGAGGTACCAGAGAGAAAGACCAGAGAGAGAGACTACAGAGAGAGAGAGACTAAGGAGAGAGACCAGAGAGAGAGACCAGAGAGAGAGACTAGAGAGAGACCGGAGAGAGAGACCTGAGAGAGAGACCAGAGAGAGAGACCAGAGAGAGACTAGAGGTACCAGAGAGAAAGACCAGAGAGAGAGACTACAGAGAGAGAGAGACCAAGGAGAGAGACCCGAGAGAGAGACCAGAGAGAGAGACTAGAGAGAGACCGGAGAGAGAGACCTGAGAGAGAGACCAGAGAGAGAGACCAGAGAGAGAGACTAGAGAGAGACCAGAGAGAGAGACCAGGGAGAGAGACCGGAGAGAGAGACCTGAGAGAGAGACTAGAGAGAGAGACTCAGGAGAGAGACCAGAGAGAGACTAGAGAGGTACCAGAGAGAAAGACCAGAGAGAGAGACTACAGAGAGAGAGAGACTAAGGAGAGAGACCAGAGAGAGAGACCAGAGAGAGAGACTAGAGAGAGAGACTAGAGAGAGAGACTAGGGAGAGAGACTAGAGAGAGAGACCAGAGAGAGACTAGAGAGGTACCAGAGAGAAAGACCAGAGAGAGAGACCACAGAGAGGGAGAGACTAAGGAGAGAGACCAGAGAGAGAGACTAGGGAGAGAGACTAGAGAGAGACCGGAGAGAGAGACCTGAGAGAGAGACCAGAGAGAGAGACCAGAGAGAGAGACTAGAGAGAGACCAGAGAGAGAGACCAGGGAGAGAGACCGGAGAGAGAGACCTGAGAGAGAGACTAGAGAGAGAGACTCAGGAGAGAGAGACCAGAGAGAGACTAGAGAGGTACCAGAGAGAAAGACCAGAGAGAGAGACTACAGAGAGAGAGAGACTAAGGAGAGAGACCAGAGAGAGAGACCAGAGAGAGAGACTAGAGAGAGACCGGAGAGAGAGACCTGAGAGAGAGACCAGAGAGAGAGACCAGAGAGAGACTAGAGAGGTACCAGAGAGAAAGACCAGAGAGAGAGACTACAGAGAGAGAGAGACTAAGGAGAGAGACCAGAGAGAGAGACCAGAGAGAGAGACTAGAGAGAGACCGGAGAGAGAGACCTGAGAGAGAGACCAGAGAGAGAGACCAGAGAGAGAGACCAGGGAGAGAGACCGGAGAGAGAGACCTGAGAGAGAGACTAGAGAGAGAGACTCAGGAGAGAGACCAGAGAGAGACTAGAGAGGTACCAGAGAGAGAGACCAGAGAGAGAGACCAGAGAGAGAGACTAGAGAGAGAGACTAGAGAGAGAGACTAGGGAGAGAGACTAGAGAGAGAGACCAGAGAGAGACTAGAGAGGTACCAGAGAGAAAGACCAGAGAGAGAGACCACAGAGAGGGAGAGACTAAGGAGAGAGACCAGAGAGAGAGACCAGAGAGAGAGACTAGAGAGAGACCAGAGAGAGAGACCAGGGAGAGAGACCGGAGAGAGAGACCTGAGAGAGAGACTAGAGAGAGAGACTCAGGAGAGAGACCAGAGAGAGACTAGAGAGGTACCAGAGAGAGAGACTACAGAGAGAGAGAGACTAAGGAGAGAGACCAGAGAGAGAGACCAGAGAGAGAGACTAGAGAGAGAGACTAGAGAGAGAGACTAGAGAGAGAGACTAGGGAGAGAGACTAGAGAGAGAGACCAGAGAGAGACTAGAGAGGTACCAGAGAGAAAGACCAGAGAGAGAGACCACAGAGAGGGAGAGACTAAGGAGAGAGACCAGAGAGAGAGACTAGGGAGAGAGACTAGAGAGAGAGACCAGAGAGAGACTAGAGAGGTACCAGAGAGATATCAGAGAGAGACTAGGGAGAGAGACTAGGGAGAGAGACCAAGGAGAGAGACCAAGGAGAGAGAGACCAGAGAGAGAAACCATAGGGAGAGACCAGAGAGAAACCAGAGTAAGAGACCCGAGAGAGGGACCCGAGAGAGGGACCCGAGAGAGGGACCAGAGAGAGGGACCAGAGAGGGGGACCAGAGAGAGAGACCAGAGAGAGAGACCGGAGAGAGACCGGAGAGAGACCGGAGAGAGACTAGAGAGAGACTAGAGAGAGACTAGAGAGAGACCAGAGAGAGAGACCGGAGAGAGACTAGAGAGAGACTAGAGAGAGACCAGACCAGAGAGAGAGAAAGTTTGGTCTTGTTTGTATATGACCTGGGTCTGTGTTGCAGCCGTCGTTGCCGGTCCTCTACACGCTGTCGAGCCAAGCAACCCACGAAGCAGTGCACCTCCTCTGCCGCATGCTGGTGTTCGACCCGGTGAGTCACAGACACACACACACAACACACACAGACACACACCCACACACTGACACCGACGCACACACACACAGATGCACACACACACACAGGGTTAGAGAGAGAGAACACACAGAAAGAGAGAGAGAGAGAAGACACAGACATTATATATACACATAGACGCATGCATACACACACACACACACCAGTGACGTAGGCACATTAGGGCCAGGGTGGTCCCAGGCCCTCCCACTTTTTTGATTGGCCCAGGGCCTGGCCCGCCCTGAGAAAGCTTGCATGATATTTCTCACCATTTTTTACGATTGATAATTTTACTCACTCTTCAAAAAAATGCTTAACATTGACATTCAAACCAAAGCCTTTAAAAATGTATTAATAAATAATTAGATGTTCACACGCCGCGCCTCCTCCTCGCCTCCACAGCAGCAGCACGTGACCCTCATCTCTCTGCTGTGATTGGCTGAGTTCCACCTGCACTTAAAATAGCGAGGCGCCAAACTTTACGAGTAGCTACCGTTTACTTTCAGTAAAGTCCGTCTGGAAGTGCTCTCTGAAAAGTGATCAGTGAAGCCGTGTAGCCAGTGTCAAGAAACGCGTTTCCCCTGAGCCTCGTAAAATGTGAGTAATCAGAGAAAATTATTATAGATCTATCTCCATTCAACACATTTACATATGTTCTAATCTGTCACTGCACTGCACCGGGAAACTCAGGCTGCACACAGACAGAGACAGAACTGACTCCATTTGAGAAACGGGCTGAAAAAATACTTCCAGTGCTCCTTACTATCCACTCTGTGTGGCAGTCAGACTCTTGCCTTCTGTATTGAATGTTTTTTTGCTTCAGCAATGTCACTGATGGGCTGTTCCCTCTTAGGCAAGGCAAGGCAAGGCAAGGCAAGTTTATTTATATAGCACAATTCATACACAAGGCAATTCAAAGTGCTGAACAAAACAAGAAAGCATTAAAATCATAAATTATCACAGAACATTAAAAAGAAAGATAAAAATATAAAATCCCTCAGTTGTATGCACAGTTAAACAGAACCGTCTTTAACCTGGTTTTAAACATTGTCAGAGAGGAGGCCTGTCTCACATCTTCAGGAAGACTGTTCCAGATTTTAGCAGCATGAATCTGAAAAGCAGCCTCCCCATGTTTAGTTCTGACTCTGGGCACTAACAGGAGTCCAGTCCCTGTGCTCCTCAGAGTCCGGGCTGGTTCATATGGTACTAACATGTCACTAATATATTTTGGTGCGAGGCTATGGAGAGACTTGTACACAAGCAGAGCTGTTTTAAAGTCTATTCTCTGAGCCACAGGAAGCCAGTGCAGAGACCTGAGGACTGGACTAATGTGGTCGTACTTCCTGGTTCTAGTCAGGACTCGAGCTGCTGCATTTTGAATGTACTGCAGCTGTTTTACAGCCTGTTTGGACAGACCTGTGAGCAGGCCATTGCAGTAGTCTAACCTACTGGAGACAAATGCATGGATAAGAATCTCCAGGTCTGCTTTAGACACTATGTTTTTGATCCTGGCAATGTTTTTTAGATGGTAAAAAGCTGCTGATGTTACTGATTTGATGTGGCTATTAAAATTTAAGTCTGAGTCCAGTATTACCCCTAGATTTCTGACCTTGTTTGAAGGTTTTAGGGAGAGAGACTGTAGATGACAGATGACGCTCTCTCTTTGTTTCTGGGGACCAAAGACAATCATTTCAGTTTTGTCTGCGTTTAGCTGAAGGAAGTTGTTTTGCATCCACTCACTGATCTGTTGGATACAGTGAAGGAGTGAGTCCACTGGTCCATGTTCTCCTGCAGTCAGTGAGACATAGATCTGCGTGTCGTCTGCATAGTTGTGATAGGAAACTTTGTTTCTGCGTATTAACTGACCTAACGGCAGCATGTAGAGATTGAACAGAAGAGGTCCCAGGATCGACCCCTGTGGGACTCCACAGGTCAGGGCCTCTTAGATGCGCAATCGTGTTGTTCTTTTAGGGTCTTATCATAAAACATCCATGGTCTCAGCGCACAGAAAATTCTGTCCTGCACAAAATAATAACAGTGTCCTCTGCCGCACAAACGACGCAGCCGCGTATTTCTACAGAGTATGGACCGCGGTGGATCCGCGCGGTCAGGCCCCATTCAGAGTCAGATTCATAGCCCTCTGTCTGTGACGATGAGGTTCACTGTCCGCGAGTGCGATAGAAGTGCCCAACGCAGAGGTCTGAAGCTGCGATTGATCCAGAACAGAGCTAGGACCAACCTCACACCGTGAACCGCAAATGCAGACAATCTTTCATTAAAAAGTCTATTGGAGTCTTTCAGTGCAACATATTGTGGCAGTTTAGCTTGAAAACAAAAGAGGAGGCTCTGGTCAAATTCACTGAGAATTAAATGATTATGCTCCAAATATCTCCAAAGAGGGTCTGGCCGAGGACTCGAGAGCAGTGTCTCACAAGCGCTACACCAGCTGCTGTGGTGTGTGCGCGGAGCTACACACACACGCACACACGCGCACACACATGCGGGGAGACTGGAGTCTGAAGAACAGGAGTCCTGCTTACGTCTCTCTTTATCCAAAGTGCCTCCATCACTTTACTGTGGTTTTATTGTTAGTGCTGATCTTTTCAATGATGTTAGGATTCAGTTCAGCTCAAAGGCCTGGAGTAAAGTTGGTTTTGTGGCAATTTGACTATTAAGATAATAAATGTATGTGATTTGTTTTATAATGCAATACGTATATTATTTTGACTAAATATAATAATGTATACCATTTATCAAGACTCTAAAGGTTAAATCCTCTACTGCCAAATATATTCCTAAATCTACTTTAATTCACCATCGTTTGTACTGTAGCTAGTTAGCGCCTGTATCCACTACAGTCTGTGCTGTTCACTAAAAGCTGTCTAACCGAGGAGGCACGTCTGCAAGGTATTATTGGATATCATATTGATTTTTTTCTCTGGCAAAAGTTGGCCCGCCCACTTTTCTCCAGGCCCACCCTATTCAACATTTCTGCCTAAGTCACTGACACACACATACACACAGAATACACAGACATTAGACAGAAAGAAAGACGCACACATTGAATTGAATGGACACACACACAGAGAGCAGACACAAACCCTCTCTGACCCTACACCTCTCCCTGGTCCACAGTCGAAGCGGATCTCAGCGAAGGACGCCCTGGCCCACCCGTACCTGGACGAGGGCCGGCTGCGGTACCACACCTGCATGTGCAAATGCTGCTACACAACTTCCTCCGGCCGCGTCTACACCAGCGACTTCGAGCCCGTCACAAACCCAAAGTTCGACGACGGCTTCGAGAAAAACCTCAGCTCCGTTCGCCAAGTCAAAGGTCGGTACCGAGACGTTAAAGCTCGGGGTCCTAACTTTATTTAATTTATATATCAATCAATCAATCAACTTTTATTTCGTATAGCACGTATGGCTTTCTATCACAAGGCAACACAAACCAGAGTAGACGCCAGCCTCACATTTTCAGGAAGATTGTTACAGATTTTAGCTGCATGAATCTGAAACGATGCCTCCTCATGTCTAGTTCTTCCTGGTTCTAGTCAAGACTAATGCGGTCATACTACCTGGTTCTAGTCAGGACTAATGTGGTCGTACTTCCTGGTTCTAGTCAGTACTAATGTGGTCGTACTTCCTGGTTCTAGTCAGGACTAATGTGGTCGTACTTCCTGGTTCTAGTCAGGACTAATGTGGTCGTACTTCCTGGTTCTAGTCAGGACTAATGTGGTCGTACTTCCTGGTTCTATTCAGTACTAATGTGGTCGTACTTCCTGGTTCTAGCCGGGACTAATGTGGTCGTACTTCCTGGTTCTAGTCGGGACTAATGTGGTCGTACTTCCTGGTTCTAGTCGGGACTAATGTGGTCGTACTTCCTGGTTCTAGTCAGGACTAATGTGGTTGTACTTCCTGGTTCTAGTCAGGACTAATGTGGTCGTACTTCCTGGTTCTAGTCAGGACTAATGTGGTCGTACTTCCTGGTTCTAGTCAGGACTAATATGGTTGTACTTCCTGGTTCTAGTCGGGACTAATGTGGTCGTACTTCCTGGTTCTAGTCGGGACTAATGTGGTCGTACTTCCTGGTTCTAGTCGGGACTTCCCACTGTATGAGGGAGATAGTAACACTGTAACGTCGCCAGACTTGTATGTAAGCTAAGCAGGACAGGGCCTGGATAGTACTATGATGGGAGACCTCTGGGAACTCCAGGTACCACAGTGCGGCGGCTGCGGCTGTAAAGTGCCAAACTGTGGTTGTGTCCTTAGGCAAGACACTTCCCCCACATTAGAATGAGTCTGGTGTGTGTGTGAATGGTTGGTGGTGGTCGGAGGGGCTGATGGCACAGACTGGTTGCCTCGCTTCTGTCAGTGTGCCCCAGGGCAGCTGTGGCCACAGTAGTAGTTTATCACCACTGGGTTTGGAGTGATTAAATAGTCAAGCATCTTTGAGAGTCCTGGAAAGCGCTATAAAAAACAGATGCATTATTTATGTATTTATTTGTATTATTATTCATTTTTTATTATTACTAGTTCACAGTAACGGGATGTAAATATGTTTGCATCAATACACGACCAGTTCAGTTATGGCGAGTTTGTAAAAGTGGAGGATTCCGGGGGGATGAGGAGGGGGGCTGTGTTCGTTGAGCAGTCTGACAGCGTGGGTTTAGAGGCTGTTGGCCGTTCTGTGAGTTCGGGAGTGACCTGTACCTCCCACTGCTGTAATTTCTGTCCCAGTTTGTATTCAAGTAATTTCCATCAAATCAGTCCATTCTATACTAGCTTTGTGAGGTTGTTTTTATGTGTATTGTATATTTTTGTATTCAGAAATCATCCATCAGTTCATCCTGGAGCAGCAGAAAGGAAGCCGAGTCCCTCTCTGCATCAACCCCCAGTCTGCCGCCTTCAAGAGCTTCATCAGGTAAACGCCTTCCACTTCATGTTCAACTTTTATTTTGAAGGACATTTTAGAATAAATGTATAATTCAGACCGGACATGGCTTCTCCCTGGGCAGACAGCAGTGATTGCCAACCTGTGTTTTATTTATCTCATTTATTTTATTATTATTATTATTATTATTATTATTAATATTATTATTGATGATTATGTATTGCTCATGACCATATATGACATGGAGCACATGTTACAGAACAAAACAAAACAGCAATGCGTCTTGTACCTTTCTCCAGTGTGAGATCAATAAATAAATAAGTATATAGTGTCTTTCACAGACCAGAGTCAAAGTGGTTTACAATTGTGACCAGAGAGAGACCAGAGAGAGACCAGAGAGAGACCAGAGAGAGACCAGAGAGAGACCAGAGAGAGACCAGAGAGAGACCAGAGAGACTTTTTTAACTTATTTTATTGAATTGAACCTTTACTGTTCCGTGGTGGAAAGGAGGAAGGAGCCAGAATTCCATACTGCAAAAATATTATAATTTAATAAACAAAAAACAAAACTTAACTGAATGTAAAAACACAGAAACTGCAGAAAAAGACACAAACATTCGATGGACTGACACCATGAGGGAAAGAGCACAGGGACTGTAACTGGGAGACACAAGTACAACACATCAGGGGGCGGGGCCATCGACAGAACAGGAAGTAAAACTCAAAAAGCCACAGGAGAACCATTGCAAAACAAAACAGGAACTAAACATGACCGTGACATTTCCAGTCTCAGATGGATGGAATTGTCTGAACCCGTTTTAGTTCCTTCACATTGACTAAAAACATTAAACTGTAAATAATCTTAGAGCTGGAGAGAGTCTGTGTTTCTAATCTTAATCCTAAACTGTAGTAACCACATAATTCATTCAAGTAATTATGTGGTAAATTAGAATAATAAACATGGGGTGGGTCCTCACTTCTTCCCACTCCTTTTCGAGCTGACTTTTAGTTAATAAACCAAAACATACTGTATAATTGTATATTATCATGTATTGTGTATTTTTTTTCTAGCTTGGCCTTATCCATCCGTAAACTTTGGTCAATTCTCATTTCCTACATATACGTCTGGGTCTAGTTCCAGTGTCTGCATTTACATCGGTTGAATTCCATCCGACCAATCAGAGAGCGTAGAAGGCGGGTGTTGTAGGTCGCTGTCGGTGACGTCAAGAGTTTGCGTCAAATTGGCAGGTTGTAGTTTGGAGAAGAATGCGATAGTAAATCTGTTCTGGTTCAATCAAGAAATTGAGGAATGTTTAGCAAATGTAATCTCTGGCAAATGTAATCTCTGGCAAAGACTGTGGCGCTACTCCCCACGGGCTCCGTTAGCGGCAAAGGAGATGGAGAAAGCTAGGCTAAATGCTAAATGCTAACGACTCACTCGGGCGCATTACATACGTCACGGTAAACTCAGATCCAATCGTTTCAATCTGCAAAAGGAGTTAACCCCTCCCACCTGTTAACGGAGTCAATGGAGCAAATCCAGACCTTAGTACAGAATGAAATGAGTACAATGGTATGATCAGGCTTTTTTCTGTTCTGTTGTTGTTTTGTTGTTCTTTGTTCTTGTTTGCATTTCATTTCAAACCTGTTTCTCCTCAGCTCCACGGTGGCACAGCCGTCTGAGATGCCTCCGTCTCCGCTGGTCTGGGAATGAGCTCCTCCTCTTCTTCCTCCTCCTCCTCCTCTTCCTCCATCTTCCACTCTGCGTAGCATTTCACTGGACAGGTCTGCTCTGTGTCTGCTGACGGAAGTAAACCCACGAGCGGCAAAGGATTTCGGAGGTCTCGGAAGGATAAAGAAGGATCAAAATGCAGAGAAATGTTTGTTCAAAAATGTCTCTGTCTTTACTGTAAAAAGAAACGACAAATAAGTTCAAAAATTGTTCAAATCCGCGTTTTTTTACTCTTTATTGAAGGGTTTTGACTGTCTTAAAGAGAACACATTATGCATTGAGATGTTTTGGACCTAGATCAAATCTAAGGATTGTCGATTCGCCAACTGCAGATTAGAAAATGTAAAAAATGATCAATAATAAAATCTTGTCTCGATAAGAATATAAAGTAGAAACTATATCAGGTCTCTCAAAGGATTTTTAATGGATACTATTAACTTGGCTGCTATGGAATCTTAAACAAAAGTATTGAACAATAAGGAGTTTGCATGTTCTCCCTGTGTCCGTTCAGGTTTAGCCTCCAGTGCTCACAATGGCCCTATGTAAAAAAAACAGTATTACTGATTACAGAGATAAGACTTTGGATGTGGGACAACAGCCCTGTTTCCACCAGACTTAGCCCTACCCTACTCTACTCTACCCTACTCTACTCTGCTCTACCCTACTCTACTCTACTCTACCCTACTCTACCCTACCCTACTCTACCCTACCCTACCCTACTCTACCCTACCCTACCCTACCCTACTCTACTCTACTCTACTCTACCCTACCCTACAATAATCTACCCTACTCTACTCTACTCTACCCTACTCTACTCTACTCTACTCTACCTTGATTGGTTTCCACTGGGTCTATTTAACCAGTGCTACAGTAGGTCCTTCTTTAGTCCCTCTTGCTAAGGTATTTCCATGGTTACTGGTTTGTTGTGGGTAGGTTGCTAGGATACGGTGTAGTAGAGAGTATAGAGTATAGTAGAGCCAAGTTGGGCCGGTGAAAACGGGGCTTTAACTTTAAAAAAGACAGTTTAAATATATACGTCCATTCAATCAAACTCTTATAGGAACGAGGCGTATTTTTAAACAGTCAAAATGCTACAATCAATATGAATTTTTGCTCAATTCAACCATTTTGAACTTTTTTGCTGTGTTTTTGGCTATTTTTCTCCTTTTAGGACGGCATTAGCACCTTATAATCACATAATATTCCTTCGTACAGAGACATATAGCACTTCAATGTACTTTCTCTGAACCCAAACCCGATCCTGAAGTTTGTATCTGTTGCTTCCGTGAGACGAGGACCTCTTTTTGGATTCTGTATGAAGTACTTTTGTTGAATATATATATATATATATATACAGTGTTACCAGTAAATGATAGTTATATTTAAGTAGATCTATGGATGTTGTTGCCCCCACTGAGTCCGCAACACTGGGAGAAGCGCCGGGAAGAGGCGTCGACAATCGCCTGCGTTCCAAACCCTTGGATTTTAGCCAAATTTTAAGAATTTATTTAAAGATTTATACATGAACGAAGCCCCTTTGCCAAAGATTAGAGGCTCGTGAAGTGGCGCATGTAGTGGAGGACTGTGAGAAAGTCATTCATAAAAAGGTTGTTATTAAAAAAGGTTAAGGTTTTAAAACGAACTGCAGTCGATGTGTTTCACTTGTTGATCTAATTACGGTCAATAACGATTTTTTTATTTGTATTTATTGAAAATGTTTCCCATTTCCAGCCATCAACATGTCTTATGAGCCCCGTTTCCACCAGCCCTACTTGGCCCTACTCTACTCTACCCTAACCTGCCCTTCACTACTCTACTTTACTCTACTCTACTCTACCCTGTTTGGGAGCATTTCCACTGGCCCTGCTTAACGTGTGCCTGGTACCTTTTTGGCCCTGGTCCTAACCAGGTCACGCTGGTACTAAAGTGTTCTAACAGCCAGTCACTGGCCACTGGAAGCCATGGTTACCAAGGAATTCCCCTGGTATTCCCTGGAGTACTGATTTGTTGTGGGTAGGATACATCACTAGATATGAAAGATGAATGGAAACACAACCAGGTAGAGCAGAGTAGAGTAGAGTAGACTCAGGCCAAGTAGGGCTGGTGGAAACGGGGCTATAGTTATACATGACAAGAAAGAGCAGGGTTGGTGTCCACATCATATAAGAATGAATTTCTCTGAACACATTGTCACGTCCTGCTGTAAAAACCCAAACCACTAAACTCCGACCGCCGAGAGTTTGTGCCTGTTTCATAACGAGGAGCGGAGACAAAGATATTTTCTGACTTATTCGAGTTCCAAAGAAAGGATTATTATCAACCTGGCTTTAACGAACGCTTAAGGAGACTACTGTAAGTCACTTCCTGTCGTTGCACTGGGTAAATTTCAAGTTGACGAGAGTGTAGCTTATTCCGGCAACGTGGTCTTCCCTCAATGGTAATAATCCATGTGCTATTTCTTCCCAGTTGCGCAAAAAATTAACAAAAAACGTCAATGAAAACCAGCTTTTGATCCATCACTGAGAGCGTGCTAGCAGCGGGAAAGTAGCATTTACACTCACGCATGACCGCACATTGAGAACCCCTCGACGTCCTCCATCTCTCTCTCTGTCGCTAGGAAAAAAAATAACTTTACAAGTAAATGATTTAATATATTTTTAGACTTGTTTTTTATTCCAGTCTGGTGTCACGGCGACGGCATGCTAGCTTAAACCTGTACATATTGTAGAATAGAGACGCAATTGTACTCCTTACGCGGTAACTTCCTCAAGACGAGACGATACCACTGTATAGAAATTGTATTAGCCTGCACATTTTTTGGAAAAGGCAGTGATGAAGTTGATTTTATTTTTCGAACTTGCATACAAATGTATATATTTTCTTGATTTTTACCCTGCTAATAGAGGATTCCTGTAACAAAAACCCAGAAGTCGTGTCTGCTTTTGTGTGGAGTTGGTGAAATCTTGAAGTTGGGGATTAGTGCGGTCTCTACCTCTCGGCTCAGTATCTCTGTTACCTCCGCAGGCCGCTGCTGTGGAGACGATTCCCAAATTCTTTTGAATGTCCAGTCACGTTTTATATGGAAAAATACTCATGTATGTAAAGATACAGCAGTGTGGGGTTAAGTACTGAGGTCGAATCAACAATTAAATTATACAAAATAAAGAAAATTGACAGCTTTTGACCTGGTTGTACCTGTCATTTCCAGTGCTTCCCAAACCGTAAACTTGCGAACAGTACAATGGTTAGAATGGCTAATTTTCATATCCATGTAATCTATTCTTTTCTTAACGTTGAATCCGGAACAGAATCAACCATAATTCTGTTTTTGTATTGCCCTAAATCACAACAGCAGTGTGTTGATACAGTATAAATAATCTCTTAATCTTAATCTATGTGTTATAGCAATTTTATTAATAATTGCGGTCCCACAGTTTGAGTCATACGCCAAAGTTACCAGCCTGGGACCAGACGGGTCAGACCGGTTTGGGAGCAACAGGGGTTAGGGTTAGGGTTAGTCCAGCATTCTCCATATTCTTAGGCTTTGTAAACATACTCCATGTTGGAGCCATGTATATCGTCTCCTCTGAAAACCGCAAATGTTTTTTATATTTAATTAATTGAATTTAATTATCCATAAGGAAATCGATCCACAAATTTTAAAATGTAGGTTTCAGTTGTTTGAGGGTTGGCCAAACTAAATTCAGGGATTTGGATCAGACTTAATTGACCCTAGAGCTATTTTTGATGAGGGAATACTGTAACAGCACGGTTAAAATCTCAAAAATACAAAGTTAAAGCTGGGGTACCTAACTTTTTTATATCACCCATTATCCCAAGTTCTCACTCCTTTCGAAAAATTCTTGCTGAAGTAAAATGTGAACAAGTCAGAAACCACTCTGCAGTCTAGAAAATTAAAGACAGCATTAAGTAAGTAAGTAAAGTTTTTTTGTATAGCGCCTTTCACAGACCAGGATCACAAAGCGCTTCATATTTAGAACACATTAAACACATAAAAATACACATACATTTCAGATTTTAAAACAAAGACACAGAAGAGGGCCTATGTGCAATGAGTTGAGAAAGCCTGTCTAAACAAATAGGTCTTAAATAGGGCTTAAACAAGTCCCTGTGAGTCACTATTTGACTATTTTGTCTGAGAGCTGATTGGGGGTGGTCCTCTCTTTTTTTAACTTTGTCTAAAAAAAAGCAACAGATGGAAACTAATGATTGAACAACAAAAAACAAGCTAATTTTATCACATTGTTCAATTTCCTGTGCTTAGAAAGTTACACACCCCAACTTTAACACATTTTCTCTTCATTTTCTCTTCATTTTCTCTTGGTAAAATATCATGTTTTGTGTCAGATAAATTTGTAAAAAGCTTTGAGAATCTTGGAGTAAGGAGGTACAAGCCCCACGCTGCTGTTTCTTCCATGTTTTTACCTATGGCCACGGTTCTTTGACTGTTAGTGACCCACTCCGCTGGACTGGCAAGGGGGAGGAGCCTGTCTCTTACGGCAACTGCATTCTATCGCCAAGCGTCCAATCACGTTCATTCATTCACATGGTCCTACTGGTTCGTAAGGAGCTTAATCTGAGACCAGGATTGATCCAACAGCGGCTTTCAATAGTGTCACACGAAGCAGGTTTTTAGTGTAGTTTTAAAAGTCAGTATTGATTGATATCTGCACATTTATTAGTGAAGAGAATGAAGAATTAAGTTTTTATGCTAATAACTGTGGTTTATGAGCAACTTCTGGATTTTTCTTATATTAAAATTGTCCAAAAAACTAATTTCTGGATATGGGCAACACTTGTATTGGTTAATTACTTGAAAGACAATAAAAAATGGTAATATTAGCTAAAATATTGTGATATTTGTTGACGAAATTACTAATGCTGGAAAAGGCTAAGCTAAAGTGTGACGGCTAAGCTAAAGTATGACGGCTAAGCTATATTATGACAGCTAAGCTAATGGCTAAGCTAAAGTATGACGGCTAAGCTATATTATGACAGCTAAGCTAATGGCTAAGCTAAAGTATGACGGCTAAGCTAAAGTATGACGGCTAAGCTAAAGTGTGACGCTAAGCTAAAGAATGACAGCTATGCTAAAGAATGACGACTAAGCTAAAGTATGACGACTAAGCTAAAGAATGACGGCTAAGCTAAAGTATGACAGCTATGCTAAAGTATGACGGCTATGCTAAAGTATGACGGCTATGCTAAAGTATGACGGCTATGCTAAAGTATGACGCTAAGCTAAAGTATGACGGCTAAGCTAAAGTATGACGGCTATGCTAAAGTATGACGGCTATGCTAAAGTATGACGGCTATGCTAAAGTATGACGGCTAAGCTAAAGTATGACGGCTATTCTAAAGTATGACGGCTATGCTAAAGTATGACGGCTATGCTAAAGTATGACGGCTAAGCTAAAGTATGACGGCTATGCTAAAGTATGACGGCTATGCTAAAGTATGACGGCTATGCTAAAGTATGACGGCTATGCTAAAGTATGACGGCTAAGCTAAAGTATGACGGCTATGCTAAAGTATGACGGCTATGCTAAAGTATGACGGCTAAGCTTCTGTTTGGTTTAAGACTCACAAGAAAAGATCAAATCCAGCCAACACTAAACCAACTCTGAATATTCCCACAAAAACCGCGTAACATTTTCCTGGTTTAAAACTCCATCCGCTGAAACTCGGGCAGATCTCAGGAACAAGGCAGTCTGTCGTCGTGGTAACAGTCTCCTCCTCCTCGTCTTCCTCCTCTTCATCTCTCCGTCACATGTGTGTGTTAGAAGGAGGAAGGCCGAGCTCTGGACTCTGGGGGATCCCTCGACAGCGTTTGTATATTTGATGTTTTAATCAGATGTGATTTGAAACTCTGAAGCACTGGAAACATCTGGAAAAACTAAATAAATGTGACTTTGAAAGGAATCGCTTTGAATTTATTATAGAACTTTATTACTCATTCACTTTATGTTTGGTCCAGTTCTCTCTCTCTCCCTGTGGTCTCTCTCTCTGGTCTCTTTCTCTGGTCTCCCTCACTGGTCTCTCTCTGATCCCTCTGGTCTCTCTCTCTGGTCTCTCTCTCTCCCTTTGGTCTCTCTCTCTGAATAAATGTGAGATAAATGTAAAAATTGCGACAGATGCAAAAAAATGATGATAATGATGATATTAAGAGTGGTTTGGTCTTCAGCTCAAGAAGCCGATCCGCATTTTCTGATCGATGTCCACTTTCTCCAGAGACTGAACACACACAATAATAACACACAATAATAATCCAGGTCCCACAATAACACGCACCCAGACTAAAAGCGCTCACACAGACAGTGTGTGTGTGTTTGTGTCAGACCTGTTTGAACTCCTCAAAGGAGATGGCGTCGTCCTGGTCCAGGTCCGCCTCCTGAATGGCTCTCTCTGCGATACTCTGCAGCTGCTCATCTGACACCTGTAGCCCCAGCATCTCCTGCAGCACCTGTGTATACAGAACCATCTACAGAACCTGTGTATACAGAACCATCTGCAGCACCTGTGTATACAGAACCATCTGCAGCACCTGTGTATACAGAACCATCTACAGCACCTGTGTATACAGAACCATCTGCAGCACCTGTGTATACAGAACCATCTACAGCACCTGTGTATACAGAACCATCTGCAGCACCTGTGTATACAGAACCATCTACAGAACCTGTGTATACAGAACCATCTGCAGCACCTGTGTATACAGAACCATCTACAGCACCTGTGTATACAGAACCATCTGCAGCACCTGTGTATACAGAACCATCTACAGCACCTGTGTATACAGAACCATCTGCAGCACCTGTGTATACAGAACCATCTACAGCACCTGTGTATACAAAACCATCTACAGCACCTGTGTATAATGGATCTTATTATAGTCCTAGGACTTTTCTGAGGCTGATTTTGATCTCAACAATTCATTATTATTTTTGTATCGTCCTAAATCACAGAGTCTTTGGTCCATGAGGAGCAGAGACCAGGTGAGTCCTGAGCACAGAGCAGAGACCAGGTGAGTCCTGAGCACAGAGCAGAGACCAGGTGAGTCCTGAGCACAGAGCAGAGACCAGGTGAGTCCTGAGCACAGAGCAGAAACCAGGTGAGCAGAGAGACAGAGTGCATTGTGGGTCGACATGTTTGAAGCGCTCTGACCTGAAGCAGCTCGGCTCTGGAGATCTTCCCGTCTCGGTCCTGGTCGTACAACTGGAACGCAACTGCACACAAACAAGGCCACACCCTGTCAGACCTCTGAAGCTAAGCAGGACAGGGCCTGGTTAGTACTGTGATGGGAGACCTCTGGGAACAGCAGGTGCCACAGTGGGGCGGCTGTAAAGTGTCCTTAAGCAAGACACTTCCCCCACATTAGAATGAGTCTGGTGTGTGTGTGAATGGTTGGTGGTAGTGGGAGGGGCTGATGCCACAGACTGGTCGCCTCATCTCTGTCCGTGTGCCCCAGGGCAACTGTGGCTACAGTAGTAGTGTATCACCACAGTGTATGATGTGAATGTATAATGACATGTGAAGCGTCTTTGAGCGTCTAAAAAACACAAAATAAGAGCCATGTTGTATTATTATTATTATTACTATTACTACTACAACCAGCAGGGGGCGCTCACTCTCAGGTTTTTACCAATAAGCACTGTAGCACTTTTTGACTTGGAAATACAGGATTGCACCTATTTTTAAAGTGCTCATTTTTAAATGAACGAGTGAACGAGTTATTAATGAACCAGTCATTAATGAACCAGTGATTAATGAACCAGTGATTAATGAACCAGTGATGAATGAACCAGTGATGAATGAACCAGTGATGAATGAACCAGTTATTAATGAACCAGTGATTAATGAGCTAGTGATTAATTAACCAGTGATTAAGGAACTAGTGATTAATGAACCAGTTTTTAATGAACGGAACGAGTGATTAATGAACGAGTTATTAATGAATGAGTTATTAATGAACCAGTGATTAATGAATGAGTGATTAATGAACCAGTTATTAATGAATGAGTTATTAATTAACCAGTGATTAATGAACCAGTGATTAATGAACCAGTTATTAATGAACGACTTATTAATGAACCAGTTATCAATGAACCAGTGATCTCTCAAGGTCTCTCACATCGCAGCTTCCTGTTGGGGCTGGTGTAGGGCTCAGGGGCGGAGTCTCGGCTTCTGTTGGCGTCCGTCGGCTGGAAATGCGCCAAAACACGAACGAACGAAGGAAAGTCCACGGTGTCTTTGCTGCAGAGACCAGAGTTTATTTGTATCGCACAATTCATACACAAGGAAACTCAAAATACTGAACAAAACAAGAGAGAAACAACCACAGAAGGCGATAAATCAATAATAATAACCTGGATTTGATCATCGTCAGAGAAGAAGCCCGTCTCACATTTTCAGGAAGATCCTAATACAGTATGTGTTTTATTTATTTATCATCATTATCGGCAGGTTTTGTCATAAATAAGTGATGGGAGACTTCTGGGAACACCCGGAGCTGCACAGACTGTACTGTACATAAGGCATGGTCTGACCAAATGTGACCACAGTGTTAGCTTCAATAAGGAAGAAGCCGATTGGTACATAAGCTAGCTTGAGCCAATTTCCTTTTATGGGCTTTTGTTCTGCTGTGTTTTTATTTTATTTATATTTTTTATTTATTATTTTCAACTGTCAGAAAAAGAATCAGTTTCACATAAAATACAAGATTCACTTACATAACTAACCCTCCCTCATCCCCCATTCACACTCACTCACTCATTCCAACTGTATTTTGAAAGGTCTGTTTTGTCCTGTTTACGGAAATGATGCTGTTTTCCAGGGACCCAAAGATAAAAAAAATAATAACAATAACCACCATCTGGTTGTGTAGTTGGTTACTATTATTATGCCTTTGTCTGCAGCATTTTCCCCCGACTTATTAATTACTATTATTATTATTATTTTTCCATTTATTTACATTGTCTGCACTTCACAAATTGTAAAGTGATTTTGATGGAAAAATAGATTCCTAAACCGGGTCGAGTCCAGGCGGTTTCCACACAGCTTAATTTCCGTACAATAAACATGTTTCAGAGTAACATTTCAAAATAATCTTGTCAAAACCTCCCATCGATTTCTATGTTTTTTTTAATCGATTTTTGGCCTTTAAAATAAATCGTTTACCAAGCAAAATAATTAAATTAATTAGATCCTGACCATCTATAAACTCTCCTAGCATAACAGAGACGACTTCAAGCTTCATAGACAAACCAATGCTCTGACACAGTTTTTCAACCTCCACCCAAAACAGTGGGTGGTGGTTGTTCTGCGGTGTTAGCTTTGCGTCATCACGGGGGCAGACGTGTTGCCACGGTGGTTGCTAAGACAAGCTGGAGTTGTTCCCTCGAATGAAGTCCTCTGATTGGTCAAACCTTATATGGCTCATATCTGGATTTACAAAGACAATATCATAATCAGGCTCATAGCGAGTGATAAAACTTAGATTTTTTTAGCCCAAAATGGAGTTTAGGCAATAGAATACAGGGGGAGTTGGAGCTAAACTTCATCCACAAGCACTTCCCTATTAGGCTTCATTGAGCTAGCGGTTAGCATCGTCCGTTTATAGAGAGTCTGTAGTGTCACAGTGGGGCGGCTGTAAAGTGCCAAACTGTGGTTGTGTCCTTAGGCAAGACACTTCCCCCATATCAGAATGAGTCTGGTGTGTGTGTGAATGGTTGGTGGTGGTGTGAGGGGCCGATGGCACAGACTGGCTGCCTCGCTTCTGTCAGTGTGCCTCAGGGCAGCTAGCATTATAATATACAATTACAAATATTTACCCAGAGGCAAAGAAAGCTCCAATGATCCTGTCTCCAATGGGATTCTCCGCCAGCTCCTGAATCGCTTCAAAATCCGGGACTCTGCAAAGAAATTCAGATTATTCAACGTTTTTTCTGTTCATTTTGGCCAAAAAACATCTAGAGATATTTGCATTTTTTATTGTATATGGTTTTTTTTTCATAGTTATCGTATATAATACTGTAGATAATGTACTGTATGTAAAAGGACAGTTTGTACGGCTGAGCAGCACTCCTAGTGGTAGAAGTGGGGTATTACATTGCACCACCTGATTCTAGGCACAAGTTAAAAAGGTGTTTTTGGGAAAATGGACATTACCAATTTTTAAGCAATACTTTTGTTGTATAGACACACACAGTCGAACTTGTAACTTCACCGGGAAATATCTACATTGCTAATTTTGAAACAACACCTGTTTCATAAGACAGACATCCACTCTGTCCATCCCACAGCGGTCTAATTGGAAAGTTTTAGCTTTGAGACAGACAGGGTGGGGGGAGCGAGACCACATGACACCACAAGGCCTTCATTGGATTAGTGTAATAACAAAATACATATAACATTGATTTAGACATATTCTGCATTATTTACACTTTTTGACTATTTACTTTGTCCTTGCATGTTTTGGAAAGTAAATATTTTCTTAAATGTTGCAAGACAAGTAGGAAAAGGTAAAAAAAAAAAAAAGCGCTTTCTGCCTGTAACTCCGAATTCTACCACCAGAGGGAGCTGTAGATTTGAAAATGACCAGTTTGATTGTTCATGTGAGGGTAAAAAGCGTAATTTCACAAACGTAACTCATTAATGGGCACACATTTTGTTTTAAAAGACAGAAAACGGCTCTGAGTGTGATGTCATAGCGGTACGATGACATCATACTATCGGGTTTGTGGTTGGATGGATCTAAATACAACTCCAGGTCTGTTTTTGAGGTGGAGAAAAAAAAGGTTGTAAAATGGCTGGAAGCTTGATGTTGCATAAAATGTCTCAGTGATAATAGAAATGATGGTTGACCTGAGTCGGCCCATTTGGTCTCGATCCAGGAGGTCGAAACGCTCGTACAGGCGCTGAATGTGAGCCGGCGAGACTAAAAACAAACAAAAAAGATTAAAGCTACAGTCTGTAACTTTCAGGAGGTGAGGAAACTTGCACTGGATTTAAATAACTCCTCAAATTTGCAGATGTTTCCACGGCCAGTTTCCTTCGTCATAGAGATGCTAACACAATAGACTCATTTGAGTTAGCATAAAATATTATTGGATTTTCAAGAGCCCTAAAAAGTAGTGCTCATTTACTAGCAGTAGCTAGTAGCAGTAGTAGCGGTAGTAGCAGTAGCAGTTGTAGCAGTCGCAGTAGCAGCAGTAGCTAGTAGCAGTAGTAGCAGTAGTAGTTGCAGCAGTAGTTGCAGCAGTAGTAGCAGTAGCAGTCGCAGTAGCAGTAGTAGCAGTAGCAGTAGCTGCAGTAGCTAGTAGCAGTAGTAGCGGTAGTAGCAGTAGCAGTTGTAGCAGTAGCACTAGTAGCAGTAGTAGCAGTAGCAGTAGCAGCAGTAGCAGCAGTAGTAGCAGCAGTAGCTAGTAGCAGTAGTAGCGGTAGTAGCAGTAGCAGTTGTAGCAGTCGCAGTAGTAGCAGTAGCAGTAGTAGCAGTAGGAGTAGCAGCAGTAGCAGTCGCAGTAGCAGTAGCTGCAGTAGCTAGTAGCAGTAGTAGCAGTAGTAGCAGTAGCAGTAGCAGCAATAGTAGCAGCAGTAGTAGCAGCAGTAGCTAGTAGCAGTAGTAGTAGCAGCAGTAGCTAGTAGCAGTAGTAGTAGTAGCAGTAGCTAGTTGCAGTAGTAGGAGTAGCAGCAGTAGCTAGTAGCAGTAGTAGTAGTAGCAGCAGTAGCTAGTAGCAGTAGTAGTAGTAGCAGTAGCTAGTTGCAGTAGTAGGAGTAGCAGCAGTAGCTAGTAGCAGTAGTAGTAGTAGCAGTAGCTAGTTGCAGTAGTAGGAGTAGCAGCAGTAGCTAGTAGCAGTAGTAGTAGTAGTAGCAGTAGCTAGTTGCAGTAGTAGGAGTAGCAGCAGTAGCTAGTAGCAGTAGTAGTAGTAGTAGCAGTAGCTAGTTGCAGTAGTAGGAGTAGCAGCAGTAGCTAGTAGCAGTAGTAGCGGTAGTAGCAGTAGCAGTTGTAGCAGTCGCAGTAGTAGCAGTAGCAGTAGCAGTAGTAGCAGTAGCAGTAGTAGCAGCAGTAGCTAGTAGCAGTAGTAGCGGTAGTAGTTGTAGCAGTCGCAGTAGTAGCAGTAGCAGTAGCAGTAGTAGCAGTAGTAGTAGCAGCAGTAGCTAGTTGCAGTAGTAGAAGTAGCAGCAGTAGCTAGTAGCAGTAGTAGTAGTAGCAGCAGTAGCTAGTAGCAGTAGTAGTAGTAGCAGTAGCTAGTTGCAGTAGTAGGAGTAGCAGCAGTAGCTAGTAGCAGTAGTAGTAGTAGTAGCAGTAGCTAGTTGCAGTAGTAGGAGTAGCAGCAGTAGCTAGTAGCAGTAGTAGTAGTAGTAGCAGTAGCTAGTTGCAGTAGTAGGAGTAGCAGCAGTAGCTAGTAGCAGTAGTAGTAGTAGCAGCAGTAGCTAGTAGCAGTAGTAGTAGTAGCAGTAGCTAGTTGCAGTAGTAGGAGTAGCAGCAGTAGCTAGTAGCAGTAGTAGTAGTAGTAGCAGTAGCTAGTTGCAGTAGTAGGAGTAGCAGCAGTAGCTAGTAGCAGTAGTAGTAGTAGTAGCAGTAGCTAGTTGCAGTAGTAGGAGTAGCAGCAGTAGCTAGTAGCAGTAGTAGTAGTAGTAGCAGTAGCTAGTTGCAGTAGTAGGAGTAGCAGCAGTAGCTAGTAGCAGTAGTAGTAGTAGTAGCAGTAGCTAGTTGCAGTAGTAGGAGTAGCAGCAGTAGCTAGTAGCAGTAGTAGTAGTAGTAGCAGTAGCTAGTTGCAGTAGTAGGAGTAGCAGCAGTAGCTAGTTGCAGTAGTAGGAGTAGCAGCAGTAGCTAGTAGCAGTAGTAGTAGTAGTAGCAGTAGCTAGTTGCAGTAGTAGGAGTAGCAGCAGTAGCTAGTTGCAGTAGTAGTAGTAGTAGCAGTAGCTAGTTGCAGTAGTAGGAGTAGCAGCAGTAGCTAGTAGCAGTAGTAGTAGTAGTAGCAGTAGCTAGTTGCAGTAGTAGGAGTAGCAGCAGTAGCTAGTAGCAGTAGTAGTAGTAGTAGCAGTAGCTAGTTGCAGTAGTAGGAGTAGCAGCAGTAGCTAGTAGCAGTAGTAGTAGTAGTAGCAGTAGCTAGTTGCAGTAGTAGGAGTAGCAGCAGTAGCTAGTAGCAGTAGTAGTAGTAGTAGCAGTAGCTAGTTGCAGTAGTAGGAGTAGCAGCAGTAGCTAGTTGCAGTAGTAGGAGTAGCAGCAGTAGCTAGTTGCAGTAGTAGGAGTAGCAGCAGTAGCTAGTTGCAGTAGTAGGAGTAGCAGCAGTAGCTAGTTGCAGTAGTAGTAGTAGCAGCAGTAGCTAGTTGCAGTAGCAGTAGCAGTTGAATTATCAGCCGGAGCAGCTGAACAAGGTCCTCTCTGATAAGAACAGTACAGCAGACACTAGTGATAACACAACTGGTATTTAGTCTTCAGTCCTGGTTCAGTCCTGGTGCAGTCCTGGTTCAGTCCTGGTTCAGTCCTGCTTTACTTCTTGTAATTAAAGTCTCTTCATTAAAAAAACAGGGAAGAGTGTGTGTGTTTCTCTATAGTCAGTGTTGAAATTGATGATTGTTGAGCAGAAAAACTGGAAAATCTGGAGTTAGAGACACTTAAGAATGCAAGAAATCTCATAGAATTTGCCTTAAAATTATTAATATATGGTCTGGAAGTCTAAAGTTGAGAATATCAAACCCATGTGTGCATTGTTGACCAGGTCTAGGGAAAATTAGAGCTAAACTCGTCATATAAAGTCATTCATATGAGCTAATGTAGGTAATATTTAATTATATAGCGCATTACTATGGAATGGTACTCACAGCCGGTCTCTTGGATCAGCTCCTGTGCGTTGGGGATGTGTTGTAAAGTACTTTTGCTGGATCCCATCTTCACACTGGCTTCAAAACAACTGCTGCAACTGACAGACAGAGAGGGCAGTTTGATTGACAGCTGCCTCGACCAATCTCAGCCCTCGGACAGTACCGCAGCAGTCAGATCTTATGTTTCACGGTGGGAAGGTCCTGGGGTTTGATTCCATCTCCAAGACCTTTCTGTGTGGGGTTTGCATGTTCTCCCCGTGTCTGCGTAGGTTTCCTCCAGGTGCTCCGGTTTCAGCTATCACCAAAAACATATACAATAGGTCTGAATGTAATGAGTGAGTGAATGGAGGGTGTTTGGTCGGAGGCTTTGATGAACTCAGAACATTGGGTGACCTTGGGCTGTAAACTGCGCTATAAGAATAATAATAACCCTAACCCAATCCGAGCTGTATCAGACCAGTTTATGCTTGAGACATGATTCAGATTCAGCTTACATGGCATTTGCAGTAAAACCACATTGGAATACATGTGCAAAAGTCCTCCATTGTGCATGAATACAAACATAAGTACACAAATAAAGTAAAAAGTACATGAAACAATTGTCACTGTGAAACCGATCAACAAAAATACTTTCATAACTGTAAAAGTGTAAACTGTGCAAAAGTGTAAATTCATTAAAGTGCTTTGTTTGAAGGTATATTGGAGGTTTTTCTACTTCCGGGTGGATCATTAAGACTATTGGTCCTCCTAACTGTCAATTATTCTGGTGATACGTGTTCGTCCAATAAGAGCAGAGAGGTTTTTTAAAATATGGGAAAATTCTCCAGTATACTTTTAAACGGCTCCATTCTTCTAGATGCAGTACAGCGGTTGAGCAGTAGGTGGAGCCATTGTCTGGAGAATGTCTTCCCACTGGACTTTTAGCTCCTATTGGTTTATTCTTTAGATTAGACTTTAATTTATAAGTGCAAGGCTTCATAGCAGGTCACAGACTTAGGTTACTGTTTGACCAGAGAGAGACCAGAGAGAGACCAGAGAGAGACCAGAGAGAGACCAGAGAGAGACCAGAGAGAAAGCAGAGAGAGAGAGCTGAGAGAGACCAGAGAGAGAGACCAGAGAGAGACCAAAGAGAGACCAGAGAGAGACCAGAGAGAGAGACCAGAGAGAGACCAAAGAGAGACCAGAGAGAGACCAGAGAGAATAGAGAGAGACCAGAGAGAGAGAGACCAGAGAGAGACCAGAGAGAGAGCAGAGAGAGACCAGAGAGAGAGAGACCATAGAGAGACCAGAGAGAAACCAGGGAGATTTTATTGCATTTCTTGTGTACGTTAAGGGCCTCAATCACAAATATTTTGTATGTCCTGTCCATACGAGAGGGTCTTTTTAAGCTAAGTCAGGTGGTGTTTATACGGAGACGCTGTGACAGTAAAACGCTACAGTTTATATCAGTTTGTCCTTTTGTTTACATGGATCTTTCTCTTTTATTGATCCAAAATGGAGGAATTTGGCATAGATAGAATCACTCAGGGTGTGCAAAAAGACAGGAAGTGTGCATTATGTATACATTATGTGCAATAAAATAAGATAAATCTCACAATCAAACACAATATATTTATGAAAACAAAACAAAAGAAGCGAAATTGAAATATCAAACAGTGACGGTGCATTTTCTTCCGTCTAACACCCGCTCGTGCACTTGCGCCTGTCGGAGTTAAAGGGACCGTTTAATTTGCTGGAATTTCTTCTGGTATTGTTCTGCTGAGTTTGTAAAAGTTTGTGGAGTTTCCAACTCAGTCTCGTGGCTTCAGCTCAGATTCCTTTTTATGCAACGACCGTCTGTGAAGAAGAATGACACCGGGTTACACCAGGGACAGACTGATGCTACAAGGCGAGTTTATCTATATAGCACAGTGCATACACAAGGAAACTCACAGGGCTGAAAACAAAACAAGGGAATAACATCATAAATATTCACAGTTCATTAAAAAGAGTGAAGATAAAATCCTTCAGTTGTTGCAGCGAAACAGAACTGACTTTAACCTGGATTTATACATAGTCAGAGAAGAAGCCTGTCTCACATTTTCAAGAAGACTGTTCCTGATTTTAGCTGCATGAATCTGAAATGGAGCCTCCCCATGTTTAGTCCTGACTCTGGGACCAGCAGGAGGCCAGTCCCTGTGCTCCTCAGAGTCCCAGCAGGAGGCCAGTCCCTGTGCTCCCCAGAGTCCCAGCAGGAGGCCAGTCCCTGTGCTCCCCAGAGTCCCAACAGGAGGCCAGTCCCTGTGCTCCCCAGAGTCCCAGCAGGAGGCCAGTCCCTGTGCTCCCCAGAGTCCCAGCAGGAGGCCAGTCCCTGTGCTCCTCAGAGTCCCAGTTGGTTCATTCGGCACTAACATAGATGTACTTTAGTTCTTCTTCTTCTTCTTCTTCTTCTTATTCTACCATTATATATTTTTTGTGTTATGTTTGTTCCAATTATGGTTGTACTTTTGTGTTTTTGTTTTATGTGTTTGTGTCTTGTCTTTGATAAAAAGAAAGAAAAAAACTGTATTTCAACTGACAATTACCTGTGATCGTTCTGTGTGGGGTTTTTGCATGTTCTCCCTGCGTCTGCGTAGCTTCCCTCCAGTCTCCAGAACATACACATTACTTACTTACATTATGAATGCATGTAGCAACGACAGACTGAGTTGATTCTATATAAATTAACACGACTTATTTACCTTTTCTCAGTCGTCCGATTGTACCGTTTCCACCAAACACAAAATTCTCACCTTTATATTTTCGATCAGGGCCGTCTCTTACCTCTAGTAAGAGGTGGCCCCTTCGTATAATGGGGGTCCAGTTTATATGACTGGATTGGCGTTTTGAAATTATTATTTAATTCACCACATGGTAATTAGAAGAATGAAAGAATGAAAGTGAAAATATTTGAGATCTTTGATTGTAGAGTTTCCCGCTGACGTAATCGCTAGAAACTCAGGTCGGAGCGGGTGTGTCCCAGGTGAAAAGAAACTGAAGTCCACTGAAAGAAAAGCAGGAGGAAGAAATGAAACAACAAAGATGAATAACTGTGGGATGTTTGAGGGCATTCATGTGTTATTTTTATTTTATTTTATGTGTTATGTGTTTGTTTGTTGTAATTTGTTTTCAAAAATGTGTTGTTGCTGTTTATTTTCGGTGTATTTTTAAAATTGTATAGTTTTTTGTTGTTTTGTAATGAAAAAAAAAAAATTGTTATTGGGTTCATTTGGGCGGATTCGTGAATTATAATTTTAAACAACAGGGAATATTAATTTGAATTTAGAAAATCCAGGACTGAGGAGGCAATAGATCGAGAGTGACCAGAGAGAGAGAGTGAGACCAGAGAGAGACCAGAGTGAGAACAGACCTGAGTGAGAGACTAGAGAGAGACCATGGAGAGAGACCAGAGAGACCGAAGTGAGACCAGAGAGAGACTTGAGTAGTAATAGTAGTAATCTTTATTTATATACCACCTTTTCACTGCAGACTCAAAGCGGTTTACAATTGTTATTATTTTTGGGCATTTGTCTCTCACTCCACACAGAGATGGGAGCGGGGTCGCCAGTACAGGAGGCGCATGCCAGATCTATTGTGTATGTTTTTAGTGGTAGGGGAAACCGGAGTACCCGGAGGAAACCTACGCAGACACGGGGAGAACATGCAAACTCCCCTCAGAACAGAGAGACCAGAGAGAGACTAGAGAAAGACCTGAGTGAGACCGGAGAAAGACCTGAGTGGGACCAGAGAGAGAGACCACAGAGAGACCAGAGAGAGAGACCAGAGAGAGAGACCAGCGAGAGACCAGAGAGAGACCAGAGAGAGAGACCAGAGAGAGAGACCAGCGAGAGACCAGAGAGAGACCAGAGAGAGAGACCGGAGAGAGACAAGAGAGAGACCAGAGAGAGAGACCAGAGAGAGACCAGAGAGAGACCAGATATTACCGAGATTTTTTTGCTTTTCTTGTGTATGTTAAGGGGCTCAATCACAAAAATCATGTATTTTTTAAGTCTGACCACACAAACCATACAGTTTTGTTTTTTTCTGGTAGTTCAGTAGAGTCCGAGCCCAGATTTACTTCCAGGAATAGAACCGCTTCAATAGAAATAGAACCGAGAGCTCTATAAACGGTGCAGAGTTCGTAAACTGGATGCAGAAGTCCCGCCCCTTGGAGATGATTGACAGATGTACTCATTGTCATTGTTGGGATGTTTTGTTTGTGACTGAACTGGAGCCGAGCCAGAGGGAAACCAGCCAAGACTTCCTTCTCTGTGTCAGAAAAGTCCTTCAGAATCTGGACAATAATATCCTGCTCAGTTTGTTTATTTAAGACTGAAATTAAGATTTAAATAACATTAAGGCCAGAGAGAGAGAGCAGAGAGAGACCAGAGAGAGACCAGAGAGAGACCAGAGAGAGACCAGAGAGAGAGCAGAGAGAGACCAGAGAGAGACCAGAGAGAGACCAGAGAGAGACCAGACAGAGACCAGAGAGAGAGCAGAGAGAGACCAGAGAGAGACCAGAGAGAGACCAGAGAGAGACCAGAGAGAGACCAGAGAGAGACCAGAGAGAGACCAGGCTTCATTACTGTTAAAACCTTTACATTGGAAGGGTCCATATCACTGCATAATGAAGTGGACATTAACAATTAACTTATAGTTTCATTATGAGGTTAGAGACCAGAGAGAAACCAGAGAGAGACCAGAGAAACCAGAGAGAAACCAGAGAGAGACCAGAGAGAGACCAGAGAAACCAGAGAGAGACCAGAGAGAGTCTATAGAGACCAGAGAGAGACCAGAGAGAGTCTAGAGTCTAGACTCTCTAGAGTCTAGAGAGACCAGAGAGAGACCAGAGAGAGACCAGAGAGAGACCAGAGAGAGTCTATAGCACATGAGTCAAAGTCAAGGCCCGCGGGCCAATTGCGCTTTCCGTTATTTTCATGTTCCCAGATGTCTATTATATCTAATATGTTTGGGGATAAGCTTGAGAGCATATTGAATCGAGCCAGCAGGTGGCAGCAGCGCTCTCTGAATGGTTTGAAAACAGCTAGA